GTGTGTGTGTGTGTGTGTGTGTGTGTGTGTGTGTGTGTGTGTGTGTGTGTGTGTGTGATATATATATCTAAAATGTCCTCTATCTATGTCTCTTGATAGGCTTCATACACGCCGATCGCCCGAGAAAACATTTCGGTTGCTTGACGCTTCATTCGATGAGACTACGAACTACGGCTATACGACAGAACAGCGAGTCAGCGAGAAGGATTCTCTCTCTCAGATTCTCTTTTGCTGTCTCGTTCGCTCTCAGCGCGCCAAAGGAACAAGGAGAGAACGTAGTGCGACGAGGACAGAGCGAGTCGGCTGGCTTCTGCTACCAGAGTCACACGTACACGAGCTTGTGCTTGGTGTGTGCTACCGGTTGCGCCAGGTCGCCGACCGATGGCGCTAGTCTCGATGTCGTAAACCGTAACAAAATTGTTGTAGGCTGCGGTCCACTTGATGCTACAAACGCTTCGAAGCGTTTGAGCGACCAATTAGAACACAGAATTTTACGAATTGACTAATCAAAGAATGCTTTGAAGCGTTTGTAGCGTCAAGTGGACCGCAGCCTTAATCAATTAATCACAATATAAATGCATCTCGATTAAAATCTCGACTAATCTCGATAAAGATTCAAATTTTGAGATGTTATCAATCTCGAACGCGCTGCACTGCAGTGCCAGAGATGGCACCAAAGATCCTAAATTCCTTTTAAGGTTTTTTAATGTCGTAAATATAACATTATAAATATGATACTGAGGAGAATACGTTTTAAAGTTTCTGAGACATCGGTTTGTATATAGTGCCATAAATTAAGTAAATTCCATTCCGACACTTAATAATTTAAGATTTCGAATATCTACGGTTTATCCACAGTTGGCGCAAGAGCCACAAACATGTATACTTAAGCTATTTGAACATTTAAAAAATTCCACCAACCAATCAAATATTTTTTCTGTACATGTGTATCCCTCTTTCTCTTGTGTCGTTCAATCTTTTGAAGAGCCCTCGAAGCTTTCGAAGTTCTTGTATCTGCATCTGTGAATCCATCTTTATGCGAGAGGAGGTCCTCCAAGGTCGTAAAAATTTTCGCTCATTGTGACGATGCACCGAACGTCACGTATGCAAAGGATCGCAACCTGGACGGTGTACCTTCGAAGCTATGATTTTCGATTAATCTTTTTTCTCGAGTGGCTCGCAATATCACGAGATGGATATGGGTGACGAGCTCGAACAGATAAGAAATTAACCTAGAACAATAGATTCGATCGTACGTAAACAAGGTATGGATGTCTCAAATCGTTAATCGGCCTGCTGGCTTCGTGTTAACATTTTTTTTTATCACGTCACACATATCTTTCACCCTGGACAAATTTTTTACAGGCACTCGAACCGTATTTATTCTCTACACAGAATCACATAATCGATTTTTAGAATACATCATGTTTCGTCTACTGTTGTCTCGCAATCTTACGTCGTTGTCAAAGTGTATGTTGCTTAGAAATGAATGTAAACAGATCCATCATTCGTAAGTACAATTTATGTTTCACTGATAATGAGCAAAAAATAAGTTGTTTATTAAGTATTCATAGTCCGTTCTTGTTTTAAGATTATCTTAAATAATATCTTAAAATGCTAATATGGCTCTCTGATTGATTCACGACATCTTAAGACTGTACTTAGTCAATCTCAAACATAAGAATCGACTATAAATACTTATTTAAGTTTAACATACACAAATCTATTGCATTAGCTGCAAAATCCTGGTGGTTGGAGGCGGTACTGCTGGCTGTTCGATGACTGCAAAACTGTCAAGAAAGATAAATGATCCAAAGCAAGTTATCGTGTTAGAACCCAATGATGTAAGTAATAAATAAAAATCACATTATATTTTTATTCGACAATTTTAAAACATTTTTTTAGATACATTATTATCAACCCTTGTTTACTTTGGTTGGTGGTGGTATCAGTTCTTATGCATCATCGAAAAAGTATACAAAAGATGTTTTGCCAAAGAAAGCGAAATGGTTGAAAACTTCCATCATCGAATTTCAACCAGACGCTAACAAAGTGTCGACACATCATGGAGATACTATACAATACGACATTATGATCGTTGCACTTGGTTTGCAGTTGTATTGGGACAAAGTAAGATATCAGATAGTGACTAAACTGAATTTGTATAATGCATCTACAAAATGCAAAAATATTTTTCACAGATTCCAGGTCTCTTGGACAGTGTATATGATCCTGATGCACAAGTATGTTCTATTTACGGTCCCGACACTGTACCCCACGTTTACCAGAAAATAAAAAATACTGGACAAGGAACCGCAATATTCACATTTCCAAATACTCCGGTTAAATGCCCGGGTGCACCTCAAAAGATTGCCTATATTGCTGAGGATTACTACCGCAATGTATGCCTATACAATTATAATATGTTAACTTGCAAGAAGAATTTTCAATTAATTATTTATTTTTTACTTAAAGCATAAATTGCGAAATAACATCGATGTCGTATATAACACTGCGTTGCCAGTTATATTCGGAGTTAAAAAATACGCCGATTCCCTCTGGGGCGTTTGTAAACAAAGAGACATCACTGTCAATCTTCAAACAAATCTGGTAAAGATAGACCCGAGCAAACAACAGGCCACGTTTGAGAAACTAAACTCACCGGGAGAGACATTAGTTCAGGAAGTATGTTTTATTTATGATAAAGGATTAAATATTACCAATATAAATTTAATATTGTTATTGTATTAGTATTCTCTCCTCCATGTGACGCCTCCAATGGGACCACCTACAGTTTTGAAGAAACATCCAGGATTGACTAACGAAGCCGGATTTCTCTACGTTGATCCTAAAACGCTGCGACATACGAAATATCCAAATATATTTGGCATAGGTGATTGCACAAGTACACCAAATTCTAAGACAATGGCCGCAATAGGTAAAGAAAGAATATATTTTAAATTTAAGAAACAGTAAAATATCATGATTACACTTATATCATGTCTGTTAAATAGCCGCACAGGGAAAAGTGTTATACCAGAATATATTGGATGATTTGGCTGGCAAACCAATCATGATGGCTTATGATGGGTATGCGTCATGTCCATTAGTTACCGGCTATGGCAAGTGCATTCTAGCAGAGTTTGACTATAATTTACAACCAAAGGAAACCTTTCCAGTGAATCAAGGAAAAGAATTTTACATTATGTTTTTGCTAAAGAAATATCTTTTCCCATTCATATACTGGCATTTGATGTTAAGGTGAGATAATTTAAATAAACACCACAAATGTATACATGTGCAATTTTTAGTTAAATTTTTGTACATATTACTAAATATAGTTTTTATATACAGAGGTTACTGGAACGGACCAGAATTCTTCCGCAAACTTACAAAAGTTCTAAAGAAGGATTAGTGTTCATCAAAGAGAAATATGCTTCGTGCCTTTTTCGCAACTAAGTAAAGCAGTGCTCGCAAGAATCTGCACATTTCGAGTCGATTCAAAAAAAACCCCCCCACTACCGTTCGAGGCTCAGCGGCCTAGTTGCCTATTGCGCGCGCGACATTGTGGCTCAGGAGCGTGTCCCTATACTAAAAATATACTAGGAGCGCACCTTCCGCCAAATCATTATTGAAATATATTTTTTATTAAAAAATTTATTTCTATTAACATAAAATTTTCTATTGTTAATGTATTCATTGTTCTTTATGATATACTTATATTTTAACGTAGTTTTCCCGATACATTACTTAATTATGTATACATTTTTTATTATTTATGTTGTGTTGTATACATAAATTTTTTTAATAAAATATTTCAATAAGTAGAGGGAGCCCGCAAGAATCAGCTCGAAATGTGTAGATTCTTGCGAGCACTGAAGTAAAGAATGATGCCGTGTGTGTGTGTGTCTCTAGTTAACGATCGCTACACACGCATGTACATACATACATATATGTATGTATATATATATATATATATATAATCTCTTCCTATATTTCTCACATAAAGTTAGACATATAATAAAATTTAATAATATATACAATTATAATGTGTATATAATTTATATACATTATATGAAATATATTTACATGCATGTTGGGATATTGTAATAATATTAAAATAATATACTTTTGTTAGAATATTTGAACGAATTTAAATGAGATTCATGAAAATTCTTATTACAAGAAAATAATAGCGAATTCGATCGTTTGCACTACACTAGATCAGTGTATACTAAAAGCAGCTTTACATGAAATTAGCAAAGTTAAATGTAAAAGTATATAAGTATTTTAAACGATTAATTATCTACTAACGAGATATTGTCACGTTATTTAACAAAATATATATGTATCATTTCTTTGTCAAAATTGATTATATTATATCACTGCATTAGATATTTTATGTAAAGCAGCTTTTAATATACACTGATCTAGTGTAGTGCGTGTGATCAAATTCATTATAAATAATCGAGTTTTTTTGTAATTGAAATTTTTTTTCTCCTTACCAACATTCTTCTAGGGAAATTTATATTTAAGCAGTTAGCAACTCTGGTCTGGTGGACACGTAAAAAATCAGTTATTTGCAGTTATTTGACGTAAACATGGATGGTCAACCATTGGTAGGTTTTTAAGACAAATATCAATTATTTTGCCATACATGTCAATTAAAAAATCTTGAAGCATATATTCGTGATAAATATATTGTGGTATATTCGCGCGAGAAAACCGCAGTAAATATTTTAAAGTTGCTTGACATAACCTGAACGTGGCACAACGAGAACCTATTCCTAATTCAATTTCTAATGAGTCATATGGTAAAATCGATTGTTATTTTTAATTCATCCTATCAGTTTTACTTTTTTGCATCATTCTTGACGCAGAAAGAGAAAAGAAAAAAACATTGATATGATTTCGGATTGCTTAATATAACCAATCAAAATCTTGTACTGCATATGTATTCTATTAGATATTCTATTTCTAGTATGTTCTCGTTTATAAAGATACGTGTAGTTTTATTACTCACGAAATTGAATTTAGAAAATGATTTTAGGAACCTACGTTGTATACAGTGAAAGGAATGGCCATCCTTGACAATGATGGCAACAGGATACTGGCAAAATACTATGATAAAAATGTGTTTCCAACATCAAAAGAGCAAAAAACTTTCGAGAAAAATCTATTTAGTAAAACACACCGAGCAAATGCAGAGATCATCATGTTGGATGGTTTGACTTGTGTCTACAGAAGTAGCGTTGATTTATTTTTCTATGTTATGGGCAGCTCACATGAAAACGAAGTTTGTATAATTATACAACTGTCAAGTATTTCGAATATTATCATGGAGCATTAATTTATTGGGCTTGTTTCAGTTGATCTTAATGAGTGTCCTAAACTGCCTGTACGACTCAGTTACTTCGATCCTCAGAAGGAATGTGGAGAAGAGAACGGTACTGGATAGCTTGGACATAGTAATGCTAGCGATGGATGAAATTTGCGATGGCGGGTAAATAGAACATTTAATTAATTTTTAATGTAATATAACAGTAATAAGATAAAAATTGATCTTTTCAGTATAATTTTGGATGCGGATGCAACAAGTGTGGTGCAGAGGGTAGCACTGCGAACGGATGACATTCCACTTGGAGAACAAACAGTAGCGCAGGTATACCTCATCTCTCTTAATATATTTTTTCTCAAGTTACAATTTCGATTCACACATTTGACGAGAATTGTTTTTTGTTCTAGGTATTGCAATCAGCTAAAGAACAGCTTAAATGGTCATTATTAAAATAAACACTTTATATATTATTCTTTCTTGTAAACAGGTACGCAATATATATCATAAAATACTGTATAATATGAGACTTCAATGAAAATATCTATAAATATTTTTATTTAAACTATTAGTTTATTTTTCATTGAAAAATTTTTTGAAATATAGAAAATTGTTAGAAACTAAAAAACTCTTTTAGATTTTAAATAATGTAGTTTCCCTTTTCCAATTATATTCTCCTAATACTTTATCAATTTGTAAGATTCTTAATTATTCCAATTTAAAATTCAGAATTCCTAGAAATGCGATTTTTGAAAATTTATATGTTTTCTATCCCAGAGAATATTGAGATGTCATATAAGACATTTTAAAATGTCATAAAGACGTTTTAAAATTCATGAGATATTTTTTTGGAAGTATCAGAAAGACGTCTTTAGGATGTCTAAGGCCACAAGCTAGGTCTACAACCTTGCTTTAAAAAGCCTTAAGTCATAAGTCGAAAAAGATTAAATGATAATAATTTCTATCTTTAAACTGTTTTTGTACAGTTTTTAGGTTTTAACCGTTAGACTTAAAGCAAATTGAGCAAAACCCAATTCTTACGGCCTAAAAGCATAAGTTCTGTGGTCGATATATCGTCACTTACAACTTAAAGCTTACGACTTACGGCCTCTTAAAGCAAGGTTGTGGACCTAGCCTTAAAGGCGTCTTTTAAAAAAGCCTTAAAGACGTCTAGTTCAAGACGTCTTTTGGATGTCTTTCAGCATGCTTATTCTTTGGGATGAAACTAACAAAATTATAGGCAGTCGATAAAGTAACTAGCAACTTTATCTGAAGAAGATATCGACATTTGTAATTATCAACACACACAAAAATGGGAAATACTTTTTTTTCATTAGATGGCGCTATTGATTTGATTCTTAAATGAATAGCCACATAGACAAGTTTCGCAAACTAAAAATTAACACTCCCATTGATATTAGAGAAATTTTAAAGAAAATGAAAAACCCTGAATTAAAAATTATAACTGAATTTCTCAATAAATATAAAGTTGTTGTTTAAAGATTATAGTGTTAAACATAGCAATTTCGTAAGGTTGTAGGTTCATCTAATATTCTATTATATTGCACTGCACTATTATATTATATTATGGTAAATTTTATTATTTTATGTTATAATGTTATATTTTATTATTCTATATTCAGTAATTAAATTAGGAACGTCCTAATATAAGATCAAATATTCAATTTTCAGCCTTTTGTGTAATTTCTTATTCCACAAGCGTCGGCAAATCAATCAAAATTGTACGAATATATCTTTTAAGTTTCTTCTAGAAATTACGCCATCTGCCTGTAACACTGCAAATGATTGTAAAATGGCTACTTATGTACCTGTTACTGGCCAATAAACGAAATTATCTATCTATGAATAGCCACTTGATTTTATTTGTCGGAGAGATCCCCGGTTTTTTTCTTTATTTAATATATTTGCAGAATAGATTTTAATATGATGCTACTACTAGAATATACTAATAATTTTGAAATATCATTTTTAACCTTCCACCAGTCATGTGAAATTTTCGAACACACTCTACAACCTGGATTGTTGAGGTCCTCACTGCAGATTCTTTAATTATTCTAGATTACATAAAAATCTGAAAAGATTGTTTATATTTGTGAAATCTCTTTAACAAGTTTTTATCATAATAAAATAACAAAAATTTTATCAAATTGGACACACACACACACACACACACACACACACACACACACACACACACACACACACACACACACACACACACACACACACACACACACACACACACACACACACACACACACACACGTTTTTTTAAAAGACGATACTGAGTCCTGTTATCTATATATTCATTTTTTTTAATTCTTAAAATTCAATTAAAAAATCGATTATTCCTTAAAAAACTCATTACATCAGAGAAAGGTTAATTATATATATGTGCGTACACATACATATTTTATGGATGTAATCATATTCTGCGTAATCTCCATTGTAAACGCGGAAAAGATATCCGTAATAATAGGAATAAATATGAGGATCATTTCCATGCGATTATAGCATCAAAATCAGTGAATTTATCGAAATTATATCAGCTTCAATCCCCCGCGTGCGTGTCTCTAATGGAACCTCGGCGATGCTGAATTGCTCACACGAACTTTTTACCCGACGGCCCCCATCGGTGCCCACCATCCCCCAGGGAAATCCAGCGAGCGAGGGTGGTCGTAGACGAGAGGGGAAAGGAGGAAGAAGAAGAAGAAGAGAGGGGAGGGGAGAGGGGGGAGGGAGAGGAGAGGAGAGGAAGGACGGGGAGG